TGGTTTTAATACTTACTCTCAATTTCCGTAGCTATCTCATTAAAGATCAAGTCTGGAGACTGGCATCCCCCTGACCACACTCTGAGTAGCACTGTCTAGAGTTCCTCATTTCTAAATCAATCTATTCATTCTTTTAATTATCCATCCCAGGAGGTTGTGGTTCTTAGATCCTTGGCCATTCTGACTACTTTTCTCTAGAAATGAACCCCTTAAAATGTGGCATATGGAAAGAACCCATTGTTCCTGATGTAAGTGACCAGTGCAGAATGCAGTGGGGGCTGACCTTTTGAGTCTTGGGATCTGTGCTCTGGTCATGCATCCTAAGGTTGGTGCCTTTGTTTAGTAGCCATATTACATGGCTAAGTCACATTAAGTTATATCTGCCAGAACTCTCAAGTCTATGAATAAATAGGAAGGTCTGCTGAACTATGTTCGTTTCATCCTGCACATCCTATAGTTGACTTTTGAAGTTAGAGTCATTATATTTTAAATTGTGAAATTTCATCTTATTAACAGGTCATCCTTCACTTCTGTTAAGCTCTATACACTTCTCAATATTGCTCTTCTTTAACAACAATAACTAGTTTCATCTGTCTGGGGTTTATATGGTATTTTCACATATGGTCCCATTTGGTTCTGTTGATAAATCGTCCTAGATGTGCATTATTATTGTTTTTATTTTATAACTGAGAAAACTGAGTCTCAAAGAACCATTAGCAAATAGACTTATACCATCTTTGCAGTTTAAAAACGCGAGTTCTGACCCATTCAGGTTCCTCTTAATATGGTTATAGCCTTGAGACATTCTTCCTTCAGTTATTTACAGTCTTTTAGTCACACACTTTGGAGGAGTTACTCAACCAGTTACTAACAAAACTCTCTGCAGCAGGCTTGTCCAGCCCTCAGTTCATGGGCTACATGTGGCCCAGGACAGTTTTGGATGTGCCCCAACACAAATTCATAAGCTTTCTTAAAATATTATGAGTGTTTCTGTAATTTTTTTAAGCTCATTAGCTATCATTAGTGTTAGTGTATTTTATGTGTGGCCCAAGACAATTCTTCTTCTTCCAATATGGCCCAGGGAAGCCAAAAGATTGGACATCGCTGTGTAGCATCTAGCTAGTAAGCCATATTGTCCACAACATGAGAACTTTTTTCAGTTTCCTTGCTGAAATTCTGATGTTCCATGTCCCTGGTATGTCCATGGTCAACTAGACCACTGAGACAGGAGAATAAAATTAGTTTGATGTGTCCTTTTCTTTATAAGCACATCTACTCCTAGAGATTTCCATTTTGCATTTCTAAATAATCACAAGCTATTCATTGTTAAAATTATCAAACTCAAAAAATTATCAAACAGAGGAAATCTGATAATCTCTTTTAAATGATCAGTACACTTCCATAAATACCACTGGAGAGTCTGCCACGTGCCTGATGCTCTGTGGGTCCCGAGTGTGTACAAAAACCTTAAATTCTACTGCAATGTGTTTTTCATACCGCAGATCATGGCCCCTCGGTAGGTTGTCAAGTGAATTTGGTGGATCACAAACAACAATAAAACAAAACAAACAGACAAACAAAAACAGACTAAACTAGACTAAAAAGGATTAGAATACAAACAAACAAGGATAATTTCTTAAGCATTTTTTTTTTTTTTTGCTTTAGTGTAGTCAGTATATGTGCCCTGAGTTGTGATGGAAAATAGATTTTTTGTTATATGTCACTATCAAATAGTTTGAAAGATCCATCATTGGTGGAAGAAACAGATACACCATTTCAATACCCTTTGGGGCATACGATGTCATTGTAGGCACAGGGTGCCAAGGAAGAATGGTCATTTTTTTCTCTGTTGCATTTTGGTTTTTATTGCTTTGGTTTTTGTTTGTTTGCTCTGGTTCAAGCAACGTAAATACTGCAAAAATTTCCCTAAGTTTGCCTTTTCTCCCAGGAGTTCGCTGCTTTTTCACATACCTTAGTTGGGCTGTAAATATCTTCTTGTTGGCCAAAGGGAGTATAATAAACTCTTAGAGACCAGCAGACAGGGCCAGGCTTTCCCTTCCCAGGCCACCGTGCCCAGCTTGGCATGTGTTCTTAACCTAAATAAAGGAATCCCTATCCAACTAGTATGTGGTGTGCTGGCATCCTAACCAGGTTTGAGAGAGGTAGTTGGGGCCAACACTAAATGTTGTAGTTTCTATTTTTAAATATCTATATTTTCTTTAAAGTCATATCCTTTTTTTGCCTTCTCAAAAACTCTTTGCTAAAAGGGCTTTTTCACAGTCCTTATTTAATATCAGTTTCTCACTATCTTTCTAAAATGCAATACAAAAATCCAGTAAGTTCAACGTTCAGCCTATCATGGTGCCTGGTGTATAAATGACACTCAGATATCAGTTTTTGTTATATCAATCACAGGAAAAGAGGGAGTAGAAAGTACTAGTAATAAAGTATATTTTGAGTCATCATTCTGGAGTCTTGCCCTTTTTCCACTTGTACAGTTACAACTTTCTAAACTCTTTCACCAGAGCTTTATACAACTTTTAAAAAATCAAAGGTAATTTTCCACTGTGATCTCAATGCTGTAGAATTCTTGTTTGTTTCTTTTTCTTTTCTTTTCCTTTTAAGAGACAGGGTCTTGATATGTTGCCCCAGCTGGACTCAAACTCCTAGGCTCAAGAGACCTTCCACCTCTGACTCCCAAGTAACTAAGATTACAGATGCGAGCCACTGTGTTAGTCCATTTTTCATCCTGCTGATAAAGACATACCTGAGACTGGGTAATTTATAAAGAAAAAGAAGTTTAATAGACTCCCGGTTCCATGTAGCCAGGGAGGCCTCACAATCATGATAAAAGGTGAAAGGTACATCTTACATGGCAGCAGACAAGAGGGAATGAGAGCCAAGCAATAGGGGTTTCCCCTTATAAAACCATCGGATTTCATGAGACTTATTCACTACCACAAGAACAATACAGGGAAAACCATCGCCATGATTCAGTTAACTCCTACCAGGACCCTCCCATAACATGTCAACATGTGGGAATTATGGGAGCTATAACTCAAGATTAGATTTTGGTGGGAACACAACCAAACCATATCAGCCACCGGACCTGACTTCTAAGCTCTAGAGTTCTTATCAGTACGTTGGCTTTGTACTTGCTTTCACTTTATACTTGAATGTTCAAGTTTGTTATTTAGTCCAACCTACATAGAAACTAGGTTTTGAGGGAATGAATAAGAATAGGAAGATCCCTACAATGATTAACTGTGCATCTGCTTACGTTTCCTTAAAAACAAAACACTGCAAGGTGAAGGTGGACGCTGGATACGTAAAAAGATTGATAAGCAACTGAACAAACATTGAAAGATACAAATAAGCAGGTGCGTTTCAGTGAGGGACTGCTGAATGCACTACCTTATTTAATCCCTTCAGCAAGCCTATGAGGCAAGACCTGCTGTAATCTCATATTATAAGTGACAGAAACTTACTTAAGTGAGGGTAAGTAGCTTGTGGACAGTCACCTAGTTCTGAACTGGTATCACTGACACTTGGAACCAGGTCTTAAAACTGAACGCCCAAGTAGAGTAAAATAAATTTAATTCAATTCACAAAAAAATAGGCAACTATTATTTCCTTGGCATGGAGAGGCTAGACACATGAATAAATATGTTTATATGGATGAAACAAAGAAACACAGGTCCTGCTCTTTTTTTTTTTTTTTGGAGACAGGCTCTCACTTTGTTGCTGAGCTCAGCTCACTGCAGCCAGCCCGGCTCCTGATGACCCTACCTGTAACAGCTGAGCGTGGAGGTTCTCAAGCAGGAGGCTTCTAAACTATAAAAACAAGAAATCATATGATTCTATTTGGACTACACTGTGGAAATCTGTGGAGATGGGGAAGATGCTGGAGACAGGGCTTCTCCCACATTTTCAGTATCACAGATCCAGGGAGAGGTGGCAAGGGCCTACGCTAAGGGAATGAGAATGAAATTACGAATGAGGGAACACATTGGAAAATCAGTTCAAAATTAGGTCTTGGTGATATGCTTGGTGAGGATGAGGCAGGATCTGATGATTCAGTTCATTTCGGAAGGAACCCATATGCTCTAGGTCAATGTCTGTGCTGGGCCCAAGGCTACGCAAAGCTAAGCAAGGCCATCTCCAGCCTCAGGGAATGCAGACGCTGCTCTCTCAGGGGCTGCAAATTCAGGCAGAAACAAGACAGCTAGAGTCAATGTGTGAGACACAGAGTGTAAGACAGTGCCAAGCTGTGGGGACCCACCGCGGCCACACAGAGGCGTGCACTCTGCCAGCGGTGTTCCGACTCGGAGTTAATTCAACAGAAAAGGACTGCTCATGCAAAGTAGCCGCATTGGACTATCATCAGATAGTCATCTCCAGAATGGCTCTCTCCTTCCTACCTAAAGAATATCAGAGGGTCATTTTGCTGTTACCTTATCCAGGAAATACACAATAAGAACCAAGCGCAGGGGACTAAAATAGCGAGTGTTAGCCTTGAGATATACCGACGCTGAGATTCAGAAGAGGCAAGCTGGAAATACAGTCCCTGGGGCTCAGTGAAGAGGTTTCTGAAAGAAGTAAATGCCTTTTATGGCAGAGTTGAGTTTCTGTGTGAAAAAGAAGACTGCAGGTGCTTCATATTTAGACCGTCTAGTCTGATGTAATTATACCCTCTTTGTAATCAGTCAGGGAAAACTTCTTAGAGAGGAAGGAAGGAAATATTCAACACCACTATAAAAATGGGAAGGAAGGAAGGTTGACAAGTTGAGAAGAGTCCTCTGGCCACCAGGAGGACGGGTATGTACAAGACAGTGAAAGTGATGGAAAGCTTAGTGGTGCCCACGCAGCCCACACCACCTGTGCATGGGAGGACAGAGGGAAGGGAAGTGGAGGACCACGCAGGGCTGCCCTCAGCATGCCCAGAGTTCCTGCCTCAGCCACACTGTCTGCTAACGAGCATCTTCCTTGGTGTTCCGCAGGGTGACGACTCCGATGAGGAAGATCTTTGTATCAGCAACAAATGGACTTTCCAGAGAACCAGTCGCAGGTGGTCTCGTGTGGACGACCTCTACACCCTGCTCCCTCGAGGAGACAGAAATGGGTCACCCGCAGGCACGGGGATGAGGAACACGACCAGCAGTGAGAGTGTCCTCACAGACCTGAGCGAGCCTGAGGTCTGCTCCATTCACAGTGAAAGCAGCGGGGGCAGCGACGGCCGCAGCCAGCCGGGCCAGTGCCGTACCGACAGCCCGGTCATGCTGGATGCCCCACTGGTCAGCAGCAGCCTCCCGCAGTCCCCCAGAGACATCCTCAGCCACCCCTTCCACCCCAAGAATGAGAAGCCCACCAGGGCCAGGGCCAAATCATTTTTGAAACGCATGGAAACTCTCCGAGGGAAGGGAGCCCATGGGAGGCATAAGGGGTCAGGGCGGACAGGTGGCCTGGTGATCAGCGGGCCCATGTTGCAGCAGGAGCCAGAGTCCTTTAAGGCCATGCAGTGCATCCAGATTCCAAATGGAGATCTCCAGAATTCGCCGCCACCTGCCTGCAGAAAGGGGCTCCCATGCTCCGGCAAGTCGAGTGGCGAGAGCAGCCCGTCGGAGCACAGCAACAGCGGGGTGAGCACGCCCTGCCTGAAGGAACGCAAGTGCCACGGGGCCAACAAGCGCGGGGGCATGTACTTGGAGGACCTGGATGTGCTGGCAGGGACAGCACTGCAGGATGCAGGGGACCAAAGCCGTACGCATGAGTTTCACTCCCAAGAGAACTTGGTGGTGCATATTCCCAAGGATCACAAACCAGGAACATTCCCCAAGGCGCTTTCTATTGAAAGCCTCTCTCCCACAGACAGTAGCAATGGGGTTAACTGGAGGACTGGTAGCATCTCCCTGGGCAGACAGCAGGTTCCTTGTGCCAGGGAGCCCAGGCTCATGGCATCCTGCCACAGAGCTAGCCGAGTCAGTATCTATGACAACGTCCCTGACTCCCATCTGTATGCCAGCACAGGAGATCTTTTGGACTTGGAGAAAGATGACTTCCTCCCTCACTTGGATGACATTCTGCAGCATGTCAACGGGATCCGGGAGGTAGTGGATGACTGGTCCAAAGATGTTTTGCCTGAACTGCAAACTCATGATACGTTGGTTGGGGAACCTGGCCTATCTCCCTTTCTGCCTCCTAATCAGATCACCTTAGATTTTGAAGGTAACTCTGTCTCAGAAGGTCGGACCACACCCAGTGATGTGGAAAGAGATGTAACATCTCTTAATGAATCTGAGGCTCCAGGGGTCAGAGACAGGAGGGATTCTGGTGTAGGGGCCTCTCTGACCAGGCCAAACAGGTAGGTGGCATGCACTTGTGAAATGATTTTTCATCCATTTCCTAGTAATTGTGTTCTGTTTATTTTTTTAACAAACATACAGAGTATTTACTAAACGCCTGACTCTAAGTGGTGTGTGTGATTAGGAATTGTTTGAACAGAAGTATGACTTCTGGTACAGATATCATGGTGACTGAATCCATGTTAACTTATATTCATTTTCTGCCTATCATTTATTTCTATCTTAGTTTTAGCCAAAAAAAATATTTTGAGCTTCTTACATGCAAAGCATTATACCAGGCACCATATGCAAGGAATCCTGCATAACCAAGACCCAGTTCCCAGGCACAGCCTCTTCCCCTGACCTTCCTGTGATACATTCATCAAAACGTGTCTTCCCCATATTTTATACTTTTTTTGCTCCTAAAAGAAATTTCTGAGGTCTAAGACGTGTCCACTGTGCGTTTGTTTTTGCTTTAAAGGAACAATTACAAAGTGCATAAAAGCTGACTTACAAAGACCGTTTCAGAAGCACCCTAGAAAAATGGCCCTGGGAGGCCCAAACTAGTGGAAACAATTCCACTGTGTGTGCTGCTGGGTTTCTGGTTGAGGCAGGGGTGCGTCTTGGGGCTCAGTGCTACATCACCGTCTGTGCTGCTCATCTCAGGCTCCATCTCATACTGAGCAAGAGCGAATGTGTTGAGACATGGAAGACAATGAGAAAATATTCTGCAGCCCCAGACATTTCACAGCTCTCCCTGACTCTCTCTCTCTCTCTTGCTCGCTTTCTCTGTGTGTTTCTTGCTCCCTGTCTATATCTCTCTCTATTTTTCTCTTTTTCTATGTTGTTCTACCTATCTCTCATCTCTGTCCTTCCTCTCTCTGTTTGTCTCTGTCTCTGCCTCTCTGTCTCTCTCTTCATCTTTCTATCTCTGTCTATCTATCCTCTGCCTCTGTCTCTGTCTCTCTCTTTCTGTCCCATCTCTCTGTCTCTCCATCTCTCTGTCTCTCTCTTTTCTATCTCTCTGTTGGCTTTCTTTGCTTCTGTCTACATCTCCCTGTTTCACTTTGCTCTTTCTTTCTCTCTCTCTCTCTCTCTCTCTCTCTCTCACACACACACACACACACACACACACACACATACACACACACACACACACAGTCTCAGCTGCTCTCAACGCTTTGGGAACAAATTTGGAATAAGCAAACAACCTTTCTTCTATCACTTATTTAAACCTCCTTATAAAACGGATAATAAGACTTTTTCCAGATTTATCCGACTTGGAACAATCATGTCCTATGTTTATCCTGCACATTCGTGTCTTCCGTTCCAATTTGCTTTGTGATTTTCTTGGCTTGGACACTATCTTGATTAGCTGTGTATACATTGGTGATGTCCGTGTTTCCTGCCACCAAGTCCACTTTGTGACTGGCTTCTCTGATGGTCTCTCTGGTAAAGGCGACTCCGATGGAACAGTTTCCAGCTGTCTCACCAGCCCCGGCCGGCCCCAGCATCACCCCACATCAGCAGCCAGACAGCCGGCCAGCTAAGCCTGCTCCAGCGCTTCTCGCTGCTCCGCCTCACGGCCATCATGGAGAAGCACTCCATGTCCAACAAGCACGGCTGGACATGGTGCGTAGCACGTTCGCCGGGAGGGCACTGCTGGCTCTAGAGCTAAGTGTGTGATTGCAGGGCTCCCATGTTAATTTGTGATTTCTGAAGAACCCGTTCATTGCCTTCACTGATGATCTCCTGGACGTAAAGCATGAGCTCTGCCGTAGCCCTGAGGCGCTGGAGCTCACAGGAAACGTTGCCCTATCTGTAGCTCTCAGTTGGTTTCCAGGGAAGGCAGTTCAGCTCCAAGAAAGAAAAAAAGACAAGTAAAGGGTGATTAATTGTGAACAGAGGAAATAAAAATAAACTTGCCATAAAATAACCCTGGCAGTTGGTACAGAAACAGCTGTCACTTGTTCCTTCTGGTCTGATGCAAAGCTCACCGCTTGGAGCATTGATTCATTCAAAGAGCATTTAATTCTTCGAGTACATTGCTGCTTTTATTTCGTTGGCAAATAGAAACAAGAATATGCAGTAAACCTTGTAATAAGGAATTGACAGAAGCATATGTTAGAACTCGAATGTGGACCTATTATAGATGATTTGCTGGATTTGAAATCATACAAAATGTGTTGGTAATTGTCCTATGTTTTATATTACGTATTTTTTAAAAATCAATGGTGCTTTTATAAAATAGTTTAGAAGGTTATAAACTGCATGGTCAAATCAATATATGCCTGTGTATTAAAATGTCCTTTAAAAACTGCAGCTGGCTCTAGAAAAGTGAGGACAGAGCCAAGAAATGTTCTCTCTCTTTTCTCTCTTCCTTTTCCTCCAACCCCAGCCAGATTTCTTCTTCCTCTTGTAATTTTTAAATTCGTTTTGATTTGTTGGGGACTTTTAAGTGTTCAGCACTTGAGAGAGGAGTCTATCACAATTAAATTGGAAAGTTGTCCACTTGACCTAAAAACAGAGCTGCAAATACATTCTGCTAACATGACTCATGCTGTTTAGTAGTTAGAGAGAGCACGCAGGCAGAGGCCACACAGAGCACAGTGGGTCGTGTGATGAATGCAGAGAGCATGCTGAATTCGCCCCGTGTCTGTTGGGTATTCCAACAAAAGCTTGGCTTCCCTCATGCTTGCTTCCAGTGCCTCTCCCCACAGTATGCCCCAGGAGGCTTGCATGACCTGGTTTCTGTAAATTCTAGGTCAGTTCCAAAGTTCATGAAGAGGATGAAAGTTCCCGACTACAAAGACAAGGCTGTCTTTGGCGTTCCTCTCATAGTCCACGTCCAAAGAACGGGACAGCCCCTGCCTCAGAGTATTCAGCAAGCACTGAGATATCTCCGCAGCAACTGCCTCGATCAGGTAGGGCTGTAACCCACCCCCCACCAAGGGATTGGATTGATGCGATGCCAGACTGAGTCAGAGCTGCCCAGTATCAGGCAAGATATGCCTCACCAAAAATAAAAGGCAATGTTTTATTTGAACAAGCTACATCCTATTTGAGGATGTTTCCTCATTGGCAACTTAAACGATGACCTGGAGTGACTGCGGAAAGTTGATGTTAACAGTTTGTTCCTGCGATGTCTAATTTGCAATCCCTAAAATCTGGAGTTAAGCTATGTACTGCATTTCCTGTTTAACTATTGTTTCAGTGCCACCATTGATTTCACAGCATTCTTTTATCTCTGTTATATTATTTTTGAAAAAGAATTAGGTTTTTTATGCCTCCTTTTATTGGTTCTTTTTTTTTTTCTTTTGAAGCAGCATCATGACCAGGAAAACTTAAACCAAAGATAGATTTATTTATATCTTTTAAAAATGTCCAAATAAAATATGAATAAAAGTATCAGCTAAGTCAAATGTCCCTTCATTTTATAGAGTTGATTCAAAACTCAAGCTCTCCAAAATATTCAGAGATCAATTTCTGCCTCCAGGACTTTTGGGGCCCACCATAATGGTGGGCTGTGATTAAGTCCAGAGTGCAATCCATCCTGTAGTTTATAAAGCAAAGCCTTTCCTCCTCCAAATTAATACACATTAGCTTCTTAGACATTCTGTCCAAATTAAAAGTTGTGTTCTTAATTGATAAGTTGCAACCCTGAATAGTGGGTTTATTTCCAGGGAGCTATTCTGTAACAGTCTCTGTTTATCATAATTTTTGATGTCATGCAGAGAATCTGTACCAACCTAAGATTATTTGTACCTTTTATTGATTTACCCTGGACCTTGGGCTTATGGGCAGGAATGAGCTCAGCTGCATGAATTCAAAGATCCTGGCTGGTGATGCTTGTAGAGACTCCAATACTGAGACCATACTTAGTATCAGGCTGGTCTCTTGGTAAATCAGATATCAATTTTCAGTGCAGAAAAATAGAAGTAACTTTTTCATTTGAAGTCACCTTTGATTGAACTGAAAGTGTGATCACCTTTGTTCCTCCTCACTTTTAATTTAGAGAATCTGCACATAACATTTTTCTATATTTGGATGTCATCACGGAGGATGGGATGGCTGCTGTCATTGTTGTGATGATAGCCATTTAGTTTTGAGAAATATACTTAACAGCTTGCCTCTTATTCCCCAGAAATAAGGGTGACAGGCTACTTTTCAAGGGTTCTCTTCTTTGGCAGATGCTCCAACATGAATTGACTTGTGAATCACATCCTAATAGAGTCAGCCAATGGATCTGGTTACTTACACATGCATTTTAATTTTTTTTAGCTGTAGAGGTTTTACTAAGAATACACATTATTCCAAGATCATGTTCTAAAGGTGTTTTACTGAGAAAAATGTTTAGAGAGGTGGGCTCTGGTGAACCTTTGGGAATGCCTACTCTAGTCTCTACTCCAATGCTAGAAGTATTGCACCATGTCACTTGGCATAGAACTTTGTGGCCTCAATTGTACGTTTGTTGTTGGTTTGTGGGTGCAGACCCAAGATTGTGTTTTGTTCAGGGACATGTTTTTCCAAGCAACTCAATTTCTGTAAGGTATGTGTCAAACTCACCTCCTTCTTGGTGCTCTTTGAGACTTTGGCTTTGCCCTGTACCAAGCACAGAGAATATTTTGCTCCAAAAGCATGGCCAGCTAATGCTTATCAGCAAAAGCTCTATTAAGAGAAAACAGTGTTCAGGAATGGCTAAAGGAAGTGCAGCCTATCTGTGCCATTAGTTCAACAAAAATAACCTCTCTTGACCACCTGGCGTGTTTTAAGAAATTGTACTAAGTGCTTGCATTAACTGCCTCATTTACTCCCATATCCACCCTTGAATGGTGTTATCCCCAGGTCACTGTAGTGGAGCCAACACTTGCTTGCAGATCTAACTCCGGAGTCCAAGTTCCTAACCACTGCACTCTGCTGCTGCTTATTATAATTGCTTTTCCCCAGTGGACTTTGGTGTGATGCCATGTCTAGCATTGAGGAGTAGCCCTATACAACTCCCTGATGAATTAATTCACTATCAGGATTTTGTAGTTGATGTTGGTCATTAAGTCATGTAACATGCTTTCTGTGAGACGGGAAGAAAAAACCTTCCTTCTCTGGCTGCAGCACCTGAAAACATTGTGTTTCTTTTGGACAAATGGTCTGTTTTTTAATACTGTGCACACCAAACTCATTCATGTGGGTGTCTTTTTTTCACTGTAATGGCTGCTAGAAAGCCTGGAGCCCAATATGTGTTCTGTCTGTAGTAAATACGTGTAATTTTTTGGCATGAATTTTATGCATCAACCTTGTTCCTCGTTTCATCCACCCTTTTCTGTCTTTGTTTTCCTTTTGCTGTAATTTTCTTATCTTTTATCTTTAATTTAATTGTATCTTATTATATTTTATAGATTACTGTAAATCCCCTTAAATTCTTTCTTGAACAAGAGCGGGTATAAATAATTCAATTGTAATTCCACTATTCCATTCACCACAGAGTATTTAGTGTAGACTATAAACCATTCCTGCCCCTTGTAGCTTCTGAATAACGTGTAGTGCCATTATCACTACTGTTAGTGGGGCCAGTCTCCCTTGGGAAGCAAAAGTCATATCAAGAGGGAGAAGGACACAGGGCACCAAAACCTCTTCCGCCCCGTGTTCATCTCAGGTCAGTTTTTTAAATCTGGGAGAATATGGCAAGATGAAAAACAGTGTACCAGCAAAGCTCTGGAGGCAGAAGACTCAAGACATAAATACAGATTCTAAATGTAATAAAAATGAATAGAGCCACGCATCTCTTGCGTCAGTCACATGGGAGAATCCGTAGGACATCGAAGGAACTTTCACCACAGCCAGTCACCACCCTATAAGACACCCAGTCCTGCCAGGGCTTCCAACCTCGGAACGTCCCTCCCTTTCCTTGTCACGTGGTATGGAAAGCAGACAGAGGCCACCCCTCTGGCTTCTGGGAAAAAGGAAGGTGGTAATAGGAAGGAAAGGAGGGAACGAGAGAAACATAAGGAATCAAAACCTGGCTGTTCCAGAGATTTCAGAGCAAGCAAGAGCTGGTAAAAGCGAATCAATAAGAAAAGCAAGGGGGGGAAGAGTGAAAAGGAAGGAGAGCAACACCAAACGAACGTTTTTTCTTCGCCAACAGCACCTCCATGGGATTGAAAAGATTCCAGCCTGCACAAGGCCTTGAGATCTCAGCCTCAAAGTTGCAGAAGACCATGACATCCACAAATATCGCACCTCTATGCCCATTTTAATAGGAAGCACGACTCCCTACCCTCCCAAGATTTTGCCCCGAGTCTCAAGGAGGAGGCTTCCTGCAGTGCATCAGCCCTTCTCCCATGCTAAGCACTCACCCTGCATATAAGCACTCACTGCCGCTGACCCGGGTCCCACAGAGTCTGCAACATCGCCCACCTTTTGCCTTCCACACTCCACATGCACAGCAGTTTCTGTGATGCAACAGTGTTCATGTTTGCCCTTGCAGCTGGCTGTGGGTGAGATGAGGAAGTTTAGCCTTCAATTATGAACCATTTGTATTCAGACATAGTAGTGTGTGAGAGGAGCCTTGCTTTGTTGTCTGAGCTTTTATTTCTGCCCTAAATCAACTGTGCACAGAAGGATAGGTTATACCTGGTTCCTGATGAATATGAAGTCACTGCAGTGTGAGGCTAAACCTGCAATGCTCAAAATAAGAATCTGCCACATACTCTTCTGATGAATCTGTCTCTTTCTGAAGAAAACCAACCTTCCTTCATTAGCTGAGCACATTTCTAAAGAAGAGGAAATGGAAGTCCTGATAAACATCATTAAGTCCTGAAAAAGATTAGCATAAACAGGATGCCAAGAGGGAGATGTAATATTATTCAGATGGAATTTGAATTCTAATGCAGCATTCATGCTCAGCCTCTCCTCCTAATAGAGCAGTGAGTTTTAAAAGCCTAATTATGCTGGGAAGACTCTTAGTGCTCAGTACAAGGGTCCCCGCCCCACTGCCTGTTCCTCACTTTGCCTGTTGCCTGCCTCAGATAAAGTGAGCAGTGCTCTGGGGCTATCCAGTGAAATTATCCTTCAGTCCTTGCTTTTTTCTTTTTTTCTTTTTTTTTTTTTTTGTTTGAGACGTAATCTTGCTCTGTCACCCAGGCTGGAATGCAGTGGCCCCATCTTGGCTGACTGCAAACTTCTCCTCCCGGGTTCAAGTGATTCTCCTGTCTCAGCCTCCCGAGTAGCTGGGATTACAGATAAGCACCACCATACCCAGATAATTTTTGTATTTTTAGTAGAGATGGAGTTTCACCATGTTGGCCAGCCCGGTCTCGAACTCCTGACCTCAGGTGATCCACCTGTCTCAGCCTCCCTAAGTGCTGGGATTACAGGTCTGAGCCACCATGCCCAGCTGAGTCCTCGCTTTTTCATAGCTAGGTTTTTAGGTGAAAGACAAAAGAGAGAGGTAACAGGAAAACTAGACCAAAGGGACACCCATCACTCACCCTTTTATCTTCTAAAGGAGCAAGAGATCACATACAAGAAAGATGCTTGTAAAATGAACTCTGCATTGCTGATGGTCATCCTCCCCTTTCTCAAGAGAGTGTCTGGGCTGAGCTTTAACAGTAGATGACAGCAGGACCTGTTATGTCATTGATGGGACCAGTGGAAAGAGAAAATGTGAGATCCCTTGTTCATAAATCATTGAGAATTTCAAAACCAAGACAGCAGAGCATTAAACCAAGTGTATGAAGACCCTATGTGACTGCCCAGGCTGCCTGCCATGGGTGACAGACACAAAGACAAAAGAAAAACATTATGCCTTCCTGGGATCTTCCTCCTAAGAAAGCTGAGGGAGCTGGGGATGTTGCCTGTCCATCTGCTGTGATTAGAAGGATGAGCAATGGGGCAGGTGAGGTGGCTCACGCCTGTAATCCCAACACTTTGGGAGGCTGAGGCAGGCAGATCACTTGAGGTCAGGAGTTCAAGATCAGCCTGACCAACATTGGTGAAACCCCATCTCTACTAAAAAAATACAAAAATTAGCTGGGCGTGGTGGTACGCACCTGTAATCCTTGCTACTCGGGAGGCTGCGGTGGGAGAATCACTTGAACCCAGGAGACGGAAGATGCAGTGAACTGAGATCATCCCACTGTACTCCAGCCTGGAAGACAGAGGGAGACTCTGTCTCAAAAAAAGAAAAGAAGAAGAAGAGGAAGAAGGATGAACAATGGGTTTCTTCGGTTCTCTATTTTTTTAATGTGGAAAACAATCTCCTGTCAAAAATTCAGATCAATCCTTGCTTTGGAACCTTTTTTTTTTTTTTTTTTTGAGATGGAGTCTGGCTCTGTCACCCAGGCTAGAGTGCAGTGACTCAATCTCAGCTCACTGAAACCTCCACCTCCCAGGTTCAAGAGATTCTCCCACCTCAGCCTCACAAGTAGCTGGGATTACAGGTACCCACCACCATGCCCGGCTAATTTTGTATTTTGTATTTTTTAGTAGAGCTGGGGTTTTGCCACATTGGTCAGGCTAATCTCAAACTCCTGAGATCAGGTGTTCCCCCCCACCCACCTTGGCCTCCTAAAGTGCTGGGATTACAGGCGTGAGCCACTGTGCCCAGCCAAAACTTTCTGAAGGAGAAATGATGATTGGAAACCACTGGTTGCCATCACCATGTTGTTCTGTGAGGATCGAGAGGGGAACTTTCCTCTGGTCTCAAGATTTCTCTGTGCCTGAGAAAGACTATCTTCTACTCATTGTGCTCTGGGCTTTTCACAGCAACCACTAGGAGCCCCATCCCACAGTGACTTAAATGACAGAAAATTCATGGTCTCACAAAACACAAACAAAAAGTCAGGAAATAGGCCAGTCATGATGGCTCACACCTGTAATGCTAGCACTTTGGGAGGCCGAGGTGGGTAGATCACTTAAGATCAGGAGTTCGAGACCAGCCTGGCCAACGTGGTGAAACCCTGTCTCTACTAAAAATACAAAAATTAGCAGGGCGTGGTGGCGAGACCTATAATCCCAACTACTTAGCAGGCTGAGGCAGGGAAAATCACTTGACCCCGGAGGCAGAGCTTGTGGTGAGATCGTGCCACTGCACTCCAGCCTGGGTGACAGAGTGAGACTCTGTCTCAAAAACAAAAACAAAAAAGAGGTCAGGAAATAGAACGGTTCCAGAGTTAGCTTAATCATCAGTTCATCAAAAGCTTTGAAGATGGGTTGTTTCCATCTTTCCCTTTTGCCATCTTCAGCTACTACATCCAGAATCTGACTTGAGACTCACCTTTTCTTTATTAGGTTTATGAAAGAAAATGTTTCTGCTATACTTCCAACAAAAATCCACAGAAACAAAAATATGTGTGTGTGTGTGTGTGTGTGTGTGTGTGTGTGTGTGTATGTGTCTGTATTTCCCATGTCCCCTAGAAGACAAGGGCAGGGCAGGAAGGTTATTGTCAGAATTTGAGGCAGCACAAATAAATCCCTGACAACTCTCTGGAAATCCTGAGATCTCAGTCAGAGCAGTCAGCTCAGAGCCTGCAGCTGGAGAGCCCCAGACATGTCTAAAATAATTAAAATAACAGTATTTGCCGAAACAAGAAAGAAGCTTGGAAACCAAACAATATGAAGATAGCATCTCTGGGATGTGTGTGCGCACGCACAGGAGTGTGTGGCCAGAAACAGCCCGCAGGACACGGTGGATGAAAGAGGAACGTGCTTGACAGTTTACACAGAAACACTGTCTGCTTTCTTCTTTTTATAGATCCTGGTCAATATTCCTGTGCTGTTAAGAAAAAACAGGAATTCTTCTCAAATGGAATAATACCTAGTCATGTGAGGATAAATATTTGTGAGTCACACTGAAGTAATTACCTTCAGGGCATCCCGATTCTGAGAACTCTCGTGCAGCACAGCCCTGTGGTATGCACCGTCCTGGGCCTCCTTCCAGAATCAGAAAAACAGAAGATGTAAACGCGTCCAAGATGGATCTCCCCCCAATAATCACTCCCTTGACATCTTGAAATTTTCTTTTTTTTATTTTGACAGTATATGCTTTCTTTCCATGCCCTTTGATGAAATTTGGAGTCGTTGCCAGTTGAAGGAAGATGAATATTGTTTAGATTCTTTGTGGCGAGTCATCCAAGTATGACAAAATTGTGCATTTTCTAGACACTCCAAACTTTAAGAATAAAAAAGAAAGTAATTCATATTTTAAGTGACAATATTATCAGCCTGAATATCCTGATGTGTGGGATTAGAGTGATAAGCCTTGGCATGCAAAGAAATATTACTAAGAATTCTGTTTTTATGACCACAAAAAGTAGCAGTGTATAATTTCCCCTGTGATCCATTCAGTTGACACATACAAAAACCTGAGTATGCTCTAATGGCTTGGAATTCTTCTTTTGCTGTTACTGCAATTTGAAAGAATGAGAGCTGCTCTCCATTTGTTGCAGCAATCAAGAAAGCCTTTGTCAGATACCCGAACTTGGGTGGAGGTTGGCCTGGTACACAGAGCGGCCAGTAAGATGACCTATATCAGGCATTCTTCCAGGTATAGGGAGAAAGAGCAGTGGCTGATGCTAATGGCCACTGTCCACCTGTCCAGCCACTCAGGAAGGTTCTACCTTGCTTTGCAGAAGCGGGCCAACCCATGAGCCACTGGGGAATGAGAGCTATGGAAACTAAGGGTTGAAAAAAATCAACTCCCTATATGCATTTAAAAATATAGCAGACATATTATTTCACTATAAGCCAGGGCTCCCAGAAAGATCAGTTCCTTTTTGAATAGAGGCGAAGTCCAGCAAAAGGAAGTTCCTCTAGGGGGCCTGCCTAGAGCTTAGCATGCCCAACCATTGCAGGATCTTCATTCTTGCAGGGCTTTGCTCTGCCTCACTCATTCTCATTAGGGCCACTCTGTTCTTGATGCCTTAATGCTCCATTTATTCAACAAGCCGGGGAGGAGTCTAGGCTCTGAGATTAAAAAGTCATGATATGGCAGTATCTTGAGGTCCAAGAAAAAAGCCACCCAGGAATCATTCTCACTAGAGCCATAGCTTATAGCATAAAAACAAACAGGTAGAAAAGTAAGTGCCAAGAATTTCAAAGCTGGAAAAGTAAATAAATCCCTTAAATGAAAATATGTACTTATGATATTATTCTGTTTCATGAACATATTGCTCATAAAACTCTTCCCTGCAGGGGCACTGGATATGACTGTTTATCTGGGATCCTTTCATTCATCACCCACACTGTTTCCACCAAACCTCCCATTGACCAAACTTTCTCAAACCCCCATGGCAATGTAAACCCTAGAGGGTAGGGGATTTTACCTGCTCTGCTCACTAATGACACCTACGAACTCCAAGCATGCCTGATATACCGCGGTAACTTGCTGAATAAATGAATAAAATAATAACATCTGCAGTGTGATAAGATGTAACAGGTCACAAAGTGCATGCACATCTGTTTCCTCACTTACTCTCCACAGTCATCCTGTGAGGTGAGGTTTTATTCTTATCTTCATCTCATAGGAGAGGAAGACAGTGTTAACTACTGCCTGAAAGTAGCTACATGGGTAGTTCAGCACGTGCTCATTGGGAGGCAATTCCAGCTCATCCAGTTCCCATCCCATGCCTCCTCCTCCTCCTCACACCCAGGTGTGGCCTGGCTGACATATCCCCATGGCTTGTTTCAGGTGGGTCTTTTTCGCAAGTCGGGGGTGAAGTCTCGAATCCATGCCCTACGCCAAATGAATGAGAACTTCCCTGAGAACGTCAGCTATGAAGACCAGTCTGCTTACGATGTGGCGGATATGGTGAAGCAGTTCTTCCGGGACCTCCCTGAGCCTCTTTTCACCAACAAGCTCAGCGAGACCTTCCTCCACATCTATCAGTGTAAGTGGAAATAATGAGCTTGGTGTTCTCGTGAGCATCCTTCTGCTTTAACAAAAACAATTTCCTATAGATTGAGTTTGAATTATAGGAATAATACATGAATCCATAAAGATGTATGTAATCCTGCTCTCCTCTCCGGAAGTAACTTTTGCTCAAAGTTTGATTTGGAAATCCGCAGGCCATTTCTTTAGGCATTTAAAAATACCTTTTTGACCTCACAATATTCCTTCTCAATAGAGTTTTGTGTAAGATCTAAAACAATCAATACATTTACAAAAATGTAAAATGAAAAAGGGACTCAATCGAAGTTGTTTCGTATATAGGTATTTATCAAAACTTCTTTAATTTTTTTTAAAAGGAAGAATTTCTTTGGGATATAGGAAATTCAAAGTGACATGAATTAAAATAGCTAGAAATAAATGGAAATGTATTTTAGCACAATATATTTTCATTGGTGAAAAGTAAGCAAACCAAATCGAGGCTTAAGCTTAAATAAACTGGTTTATATTTTCATTTGGAATTTTTTAAATGATGTTAAATTCTCAGCAAAGCCTATATAATTAGTCACTGAAAATAACAATGGTTGATTAAGAAGCATATCCTACTATAGGTGGTTGCAATAAGAATGTTAGAAATAAACACGGGCCCGGCATGGTAGCTCATGCCTGTAATCCCAGCACTTTGGGAGGCCGAGGTGGTCAGATTGTCTGAGGTCAGGAGTTCAAGACTCACTTGGTCAACATGGTGAAACCCTGTCTCTACTAAAAAATACAAAAATTAGCCAGGCATGGTGGCAGTTGCCTGAAATCCCAGCTACTCAGGAGGCTGAGACAGGAGAATCACTTGAACCCAAGAGGTAGAGGTTGCAGTGAGCAGAGATCACACCACTGCACTCCAGCCTGGGTACAGAGAGAGACTCCATCTCAAAAAAAAAAAAAAGAAGGAAATTAAACATGTGACTCTTTGCTAGATATGGCAGTGTTAACATTATGAATTATTTTGATGACCAAATCCCAGTTCATGGGGGAAAGAAAGCCATTTGGCCCATGGGCTGTGAGTTTTGAGTCTTCAGCAAAATATGCCTGAAATGGACCTTGATATGGACTTGATCCAATTTGAAGAATATCCATGCTATAGAGAATTCTGTACAAAATGTGTTTAAGGAGTCCATGATACTGCAAACTCAGGAAGGATTGTAATCAGAACCACTTGTGAAAACAGATTAAGGTAGCAACCCACTAAGTAAATATTAGTTTTTCAAGGTGAGTAGGTTAAGTTAAATTAATGAGTCAAGTTGCTAGAGCCCAAACAGGGAGTTCTTGATGTTGTTGCTCTGAGAGGTTGAACTGCATTTTCAATTAAGCCTCCCTTATGGTTTGGAAGTATCAGATATGAGTCTTTACATTTAATCAAGTTCTTGGGTTAGGTTTGATACTAGTCTAAGGCTAAAGCCACATTACTTTCAAGAAATAAATATCCTTGGCCCTTTCTGAGTCACAAGCAAGAAGCCAGATCAAAGCAGGCTTTGCTTTAGCTGAACAAACATTTACAGAGCGTGGCTTCTGTACCGGGCACCGTGCTGAGCATGGCGGAGCATGTATATGGGAGACTCGCTCTCTTAAGGATCCTACAATTAAGGGAGATGAGGCATGAACATAAATAACTCCAACACAACTAAGTTGGAGAAGTTCCATAGAAAGGTTACAAAGAAAAGTTCAAGGAGGGAGAGATGAAGAATGAGGGCTTCATGGAGGAAGTGACAACTGAAGGCTGAGACATGTGAGGAACACGTTTTGGGTACTTGCTCTGCAGATAGCATAAGCAGATGTCAGGAGAGCCCAGAGTATTCATCTGGCTTGCATGTATGGCAAACGTACAGAGTGACACCAATTGACACTGAAAAACAACGCTGGAGCCATACATTGGAGGGACACTGAGTATTAGGGCAAGCAGCTTATGCTTGATTCATTAAGTATTGGGGAACCCTCAGGTGTTGTTAAGGGACTTACCAGTTACAGTGCTCTCAGCTGTAAAGACAGAACCAAATATCCAATGAACAGTCGTTTATGTAATAAGTACATTTTATTATCTCACATAATTCCTGAGTTGGGTATCCCGCAGCTCAGTGATGCCAGGGCTAAAGTCAGCTTCTCTTAGCTTTGCCTTTAATGTCACAATATGATTGTCACAGCTCATAAGTATCACGTCTTCACAAAATCACATTCCAAGGCAAGAAGAGAGTAACAGCGCTTCTCCTTGGCCATGTGTCTGGTTTCATCAGGGACATACATCTTGCAGAAACTTGGCATTTTCCATGGTCCCCTCAGGCAGAAGTGGTTAACAATTCCCCCCTAAACCCAACGGTGGAAAGAAGACCTGGATTGCCAGTTTTGGTTTAGTCCCACTTGGTTCATCCCTGGGTCTGGGGGGAAACCCATTTCCCTAAGTATAATGCAGCTCACAGCTGAGCAGAACATGTGTTTCCTTCATGAGGAGGAAGGGAAGAACAGGCACTGAGTTGATTAGGTGGCCAGCCTTGTATCTGCCGCAGGGAGAAAGTCCACAGCACTGTGTCGTTGATGCAGGAATCTGGAAGTGGTGCACAAGAGGCACTGGCCTGCACGAGCATGGAGGCTCAGGGAGTCAGCACACTAATCATGGTTCTGGATTACCTGCAGGAACTTCCAGCAGGGAGATGGGAGAAAAGACCTTCCATGCGTAAACCCTAGAGTCAAAGTTTCCGAACTGCGACTGTGGCAGGGAGGAACAGTTCCTCCTCCAGCTATCCAGAGAAGTTCTGTTTTCAGCTATGCCACTTCTTGGGCTTTTATCAAATGATTAAATAAATTGGAGTGTTGGAGGAGTAATGAAAATATTTGAATCCTACCCATCTAGAGGAGAGAGAAGGATGGAGGGGTCAAAGACAACCATAGGCTTTAAGGCTTGATGATTGAAAGAATGTGGAAATTGGAGGGGAGAGGATTCGGAATCCACAGGATTCTGAATTTGAGGTGCCAGTAACCCCCACGTGATTGCAAATTATCCACACTTAGAAATTCAGACCTAGAATCACCCCCTTAGAGCCAGGAAAGGGGCAGGACCTGCAGCAGCGTGACATGTAACAGAAAGCTAAAAGAGTAGAGGATCCGAAATGAATGCTGAATTTAGGTATTCATAGTTGACCTTCGCAAGCGTTTTTAGTAAATGATAATAATGATGGACAGGAAGTATTTTTGAGGGGTTAAAAAACAAGTGAATAGAAAGGAAATTGAGACAACATATAGAGATGACAGGCGACCCTTCAAAAATGATGGCTGAGAAAAAATGTTGGCATGGAAAAGAAGCTTAGTAATCTAAAGTTAAAACAGTGTGTATACACTGGACACCTTACAGTAGAGCAGCATATTTAAAACAATTCAGCAGCTCAAGCAGAATTTGTAACACCTCTCACAAGCTTGAAATCATTAGAACCATCCGTTTCTGCTCCACCCCAAGCAAGAGTAAGAAAATGGGTTTGCTATAATTTTAACAAAATGGCTCTTCTCTGTGAACCCCAGGTATATCTTGTGCCAGTATACAATGGCCGTGGTAGGAGTGGGGACGGGTTCCAGACGGCTGAAGGCATCCTCAGGTTCTTCCAGGAACTTGCATTTACTGATCAGAGCCAGAATGTGGCCAGCCTTGGGGCGTGACGTCATGCCTCCTGTATGCGAATGTGGGTGAATCCAGCATTGGGAGCCCCCAGGACCACAAACCCTGGGGCCAGCCAGGACCCACGCAGAAGGTCACACCTCAGCCCCTCTCGAGCAGCCAGCTCCGAGTTTGTTTTTCTCGTGTACTCCCGCCAGTAGCAAATATCTGAATGTGTATTTGTGTTTAGTAATATAAATATACTGGATATACTGTAATGTACTATCGCGTTATAAAACACACCCACTCAATATTTTTAATGGATGAAAGAAAAGATAAACAAGCGTGGGAGTGCTAATGATTTTCTTTTCGTACCTCAAGAGACTGTCAGGAGCACACCTCCTCGCCCCGTGAGAGTGCAGTGACCCTAGTGTGGAGACCTCAGCTCCAGAATGTGGCGTTTTAAGAAAGACGATAGTGTTGACGGAAGCGAGCTTCCAACAGTGTCTTTTGCAATGAGAGGACTGAAGTCATCACTAGATAAACACAGCCATGGGTGCGAGCAGCAGAAGGCAGCGCTAGTACTCGTTTGGTGTGATTTTCCATTTCGTTCACCTCATCTTGTTGGAACCAATTCCCTGTTAAGGCTGCATAACCAGCACCCCCCCACCATAGGGACCACCTCAAGGGGAATGGGACTGAGGAGGGCCAGACAGTCCCTGTAACCTTAGGCAGCCTGGTTCTTCTTCTGCAAGCACAGCCTCAATTTCCATAAACCCCAAGATTATGGAACAGGTGACGTTGGGTCTCCACATGAGGTCCATAGCAGGCATCCTGCAAAGCAAGCCCTGGGGGATTTGTAGGAAAAAGGAAGATATGCCAGGTTTCCCCTTGAGAAGCTGGCCCTCTAGGAGTGAGGTCAGAGAGCCCACCAGCTCAAGCCCACCTGGTGAATTGCATGGCACCGGCATTATGGCCTGGATGCCAGGGGTAGAAAAAGGCAAGTCGAGGCTACTGTTCCCCTAACACAGTGGTTTTCCAACCATGTCCTATGGGGCCCTGGGCATCCTAAGAGGGGCTTCCCAAGCTGTCTGGCAGGGAAGATGGGCAAGAGGGGCACCAGGTTGACAGAGCCCTAATCACCAACTTCACCCAGAAGCCTTCTGAAAGCAGATTTATTGCTCAGAATACAAAAAGCCAGGATGGTGGTGCCCCTTTCTAAACCCTGCTTGGCCATCAAGACTGCCGGTCCCAGAGTTCAATTGCAAGGGTCAGGACTCAGCTCTGCCTCCCATGCGCTGTGAGCCCTCAGCAATTACTGACTTCTTTGTGCTTTCCCTGCTGTTCTGGTTGTTGATGATGACTCTGAGTGTGCCTTCATACCAGGAAGGTAGAACTTATGCAATGCCTCCCAGCTGGCTCTTTCTGTGACTGCTCCTCCAATGACCTGGCATCTACTTTTCCTCAGATGTCCCCAAAGAGCAGCGGCTGCAGGCTGTGCAGGCCACCATCCTGCTACTGGCCGATGAGAACAGGGAGGTCCTGCAGACGCTCCTGTGTTTCCTGAACGATGTCGTCAACTTAGTGGAAGAGAATCAGATGACGCCCATGAACCTGGCAGTGTGTCTGGCCCCCTCCCTCTTTCATCTTAATTTATTGAAGAAAGAAAGCTCTCCACGGTGGGTTTTTTTTTTTTTTTTTTCTCAGAAACAGCAGTAATCCCAAAGCAGGCATTCCCCACAGTTCATAAGACAGGTTGGATGGATGGATGGATGGATAGATAGATAGATAGATAGATATGAATGGATATATTGATAGACAGATGATAGGTAGGTAGGTAGATAGATGATAGATTGATAGATGATACATAGATAATAGATGACAGATGATAGATAATGAGAGAGATAAATTGATGATTGATAGGTAGATAATAGAGATAGATAATAGATTATAGATAGATAAAATGTGTCTCATGCTACATTTCAACTTCAGGATTTGTCAAACACTCTTCATAATCAGAATGTCTTGTGAGGCACCCTAATTCACAGGGCTCAGATTCATAGAATTATTGAGCTAGCATTGAAGAATGCCAGTTTTGATCCAGAAAGCCTGAGTTTTGTTTTGTCTGTGTGAGGGAGGAGGAAAACATTCACAAAGTAGTATTTTACAATCTTTAGTTTAAAAGGCTATATTTAAGACCAAAGCACAGGAGCTTGCAGTTAGGGGGTTTCAAACTTTGGAAAAACAGATTAATTTCTTCCCCTACCATTCTTCCTGCCCTTTTAGTTTTCCAAGATTTTTCCTTGTGAACTGTCAGACCGTTAATCTGATTCAGAATATCTAAGATATGTGATCATTGTTTTTATTTGGAAATGCCAAAGCATGGGATCTGGAGAGCATCTGTGTATAAACAGAAAACCAAAGGGATGAGTTCGGTATTGTGACAAGCTCTTTGGTGTGGGATCCTCTTTGCACACTCACATTCAATTACAGAGTCATACAGAAGAAATATGCCACCGGGAAGCCAGATCAAAAGGACCTCAACGAGAATCTGGCAGCAGCTCAGGGGCTTGCGCACATGATCATGGAATGCGACAGACTTTTTGAGGTGAGCAAAAGGCTCGAACCTCCGCCTCCCTTGTAGCTCTTGGAACTAGATAAGACGCCTGGGATTGTTGCTACATTTGCAGTTTCTATCTGTTTGTTCCTGATTTTATAATGACAATAGTATACGCTATAGCTCTGGTCTTTCCTTCCAAGAAAGGTGAGGAGCTAGCTATACAATTGAGGCTTTGATAAGGACACTCGGGGTTACTGTGCTGATGGTTTTCCTGCAAACATTTGCATCACCTGCCATTGTCAGGTTCAAGGCCAGTCAGCCAGTTACGTTCTGTTTGATTTCACCTTGGGACTTGATTAGGTTAAACATCTGTGTGAGTGTGTTTGTGATACTGAGCAATCTTTGTTGCTAAGAACTAGTGACAGCTTATGAATACAGCCACAGTCATGTAAAAGAAGTAAGTGAACCAGACTTGTGGCATACTTTTGTGATAGAATTGGCATTTGTCAATGGGAAAAGTGTGCTAAAAAAGTCAAGCTATGCCCAAGTCATGTTTGATGTTTCCCTTCACAAGTCTATCTGTTTTAAGTCTTATTCACAGTGGGTAAAGTCTGAGCCCACATTTTGCCGAGTTGAATAAAAAGACATTGGAGGTAAAATAGAAGGGAAATGGAAAGAATGAAGAGGAAGTCATTGCAATGTTTTGAATCATAAATACAGCCTCAGAAACATATGTGTATTTCCTGATGTTAGAAAGGCCCCTCCCGGCCTTGGCAGTGATCTTAGAAAAACATCTCCGTCCCTAGGGCCCTGGGCCCGTGGCTCCAAGCCAGGTTGTGGGTGAAAGGGCTTTGCTTTCTCTGAGTCTCGGCATTTCTTTGGCTCAGCGTGTTGCTCTTTCGTGCATCCATTGGTCTAGGTTCCACACGAGTTGGTGGCCCAGTCTCGTAACTCATATGTGGAGGCTGAGATCCACGTGCCAACCCTGAAAGAACTGGGGACACAGCTGGAGGAGAGTGGGGCAACTTTCCACACTTACCTGAACCATCTCATCCAGGGCCTCCAGAAAGAAGCCAAGGAGAAGTTCAAGGGATGGGTCACGTGCACCAGCACCGACAATACAGACCTTGCTTTCAAAAAGGTAATCTCAGGGCATGGAGAAAGATCACCCCCAGAAAGCCACAGCTAACAATCAGACATTTGTTTTTGCATTGAAAAATGGCTGTAGTGTCCACAGGGCTTGGCACAGTTAAGGCACATGTACCACTCAAAGACTCAGTCCAGAGATCTGTTGCCTATAATCAGAGGGCAGAATATGGAGCCAGATGGCTGGATCCCAGTCCTGTCTCTACCCCTTAGTTGTGTAATATTGGGCAAGTCACACACCTCTTTGTGCCTCAGTTTTCCCATCTGCAAAATGGAAGTTGTAAGAGTACCACTGTCGGAAGAAGGCTAATTTAAAAAACAATGACTTAGAACAGTGCCTGGCACATAGTAACCACCATGCATGTTGGTGATGCGCATTTTTATCGTCATCATTATTTTTTGTTTGTTTTTTGAGACTGAGTCTCGCTCTGTCACCAGGCTGGAGTGCAATGGCACAATCTTGGCCCACTGCAGCCTCCACCTCCAGGGTTCAACTGATTCTCATGCCTCAGCCTCCCGAGTAGATGGGATTACAGGCACATGCCACCACACCCAGCTAATTTTTGTACTTTTAGCAGAGACAGGGTTTCACCATGTTGACCAGGATGGTCTCAATCTCCTGACCTCGTGATCTGCCCACCTCAGCCTCCCAAAGTGCTGGGATTACAGGCGTGAGCCACCGCGCCCGGCCGCATTATTCTTCTTTTCAGCTTAAGGACTAAAATGTTAAATCCGAGGTATGTAGCATCACTTTCAATTTACATAATCAGTGATGGTTTTCGAACACCCAGCAAAGTATGGTAGGAAAACCAAAAGCCCAAACAAAAAATGTTGGACCCATATCCCAGACAGCCTCTTCAGCTTCTGATGTTGTCTTTCCCAAGGTAGGTGACGGGAACCCGCTGAAGCTGTGGAAGGCTTCTGTGGAGGTGGAAGCGCCCCCCTCGGTGGTCCTGAACCGTGTGCTGAGAGAACGGCACCTTTGGGATGAGGACTTTGTGCAGTGGAAGGTTGTGGAGAGTCTAGACCGACAAACAGAAATCTACCAGTACGTGTTGAACAGCATGGCCCCTCATCCTTCCAGAGATTTCGTGGTTCTCAGGTGAGCCTGACTCAAGGGTTTATGATGTTCTGTTCCAAAGGCGGGATGTGAGCTGCAGATGTGAGCACCTCCTGGGATCTCCTACTGAAGTCCAGCCTCCACGGGGAACACCAAGCCAGCTCTTGTCTCCCTCAGTGACAGCTGAGTTTTCCATGTTAATGCCGGATTTCCTGCATCTTTTCATCCAGACTACAGCTCTGCCAGGGCACTCTGATGGCCCCTCTCCTTGTGGAGGACACAGTTTATTAGGCCATAAATATTGTTCATTTCCTCAGAACAGACAGCCCAGAAAAGCTGCTGTATGTCCAGTAGCGCTTTCTGCCAAATTATGCAAATGCATCTCACTGGCTTTTCTTCTGATCTTGCTTTTCTCCCCCGTGGGAAAGTGTGTGTAACTGTCAAGACTGGAGTAGGTATGACATCAGAAGTCATCTGTATAACTTCAGATGCTTATAGCTGGTTACCACGCTCAGAAACCTTGGCACTGCCCTGGAGATCCAGAAACGCTTGCTGATTCTGTTTCTGCCAAGGAAATATTGCTTCTGATTGATGTAAGGGTTGAGTTTCAGACACCTGCTCTCGGGGTTTGGAAGGGGATGCTCAACCAATGATAGAAAGTTTGCACAGTAGAAATGCAGTATTGGGTCCACAAGAACAGAAATCAAGGATACTAAAGAACCTGACTAAAAAGTAATTAGATCAATATATCTTTTTTTATGGAAAAATCTTGGCAAACCCTGTCTCATGTCACAGATCAGCAATGTAAAAGGAACCTATTGTGAAACTCCCAAATGTGTATTTAAAACACTTCCTTTATGAAACCAGTTTTGATGGCAAACTAAAGGTTACTTTTCACATGAGCTCTTTATGACTTTGGAATTGGCCCTTGGAACCTTGACTTTTAAAGGTGAATATTCCCTAAATATATGTATTTATCTCTGCTTCCTTGAGGTCCTGGTGGAGAATGCAGACAGTTTATAAGGGTGGCATATTACCAAAGTTATTACGACATTAGTCATCTGGTGGAATTAAACTTCAGGCTTTCACTCCACAAGCGGCAAGTTGAAGAGCTGTTGCAGGATGGCTGCCATAGGGATGGGTTCATGCCATAGCCCAAAGCATGCCTCCTCCCTCCCTTCAGAGGAGGCTGAGGGCCTGAGTCTGTGTGTGGAACCTCCCTCCTTCCATCCATCCGGCAACCACACCAGCCTGCTATGTATTAGTGCTTCGTTCCATCACGCCCACATGCCAAGCACTGTAATAGGCTCTGGGTATGACGCGTGAATGCAGCAAACCATTCTCCTTCTCTCTTGGGGTTTGTATTTCACTGGGAAAAGAAGGTTCATAAAAAGTAAGAAAGGGAGATGGGCTAACTTATCCTGGGAGGAATAAGATAGGGAGATAGTAAGGGATGGAATTTTAAATAGAATGGTCAGGGGGCGGTCTCACTGCACTAATTTTGATTCAAGACTTGAAGAAGTGGGGGTGGACCGTGAGGCCCTGAGGCCCTGAAGGAGAAGAGGTGCAGCCCTCCACGAGTTAGCAATGAGCCAGATCTGGTTCCTGCCAACAGGAATTCCTTATGTGTCGGATACAAGAAGGTGGAAAGTGACAGGTGTGGTGAGGAGGCACAAGGCTGACATGCATCGTGTCTTCAGAGCATCTTCCCTTCTAGGCTGGCATGTATGAGGCTGGTCACCTTTCAGGATCACCACATTTGTCTCTCATGTCACACCCGTTGCTAGCTCCTTGGAAGCTTCCACTGAGAGTTGCTGGAGATTTTCCCATTTATCCGTACAAATCGCCACAGCTTTTAGTCTTCACGATTTATCACGTCATCATTCATGAAAAGAGTGGTCACAGCATGGAAGTTGCTGAGCATTTGTGTGGGGCTTGCTTATTCCCAAGTTCTTGTCGCACACATATCATCATTTCTCTTCCTGGTGTAGAAGGACAGGGTGAAGTCATGGAGGAGATGACTTAGTAAAGGAATAGAATTTGTGGAGTAAATAATGGGAAATTCTTTTTTTTTTTTCTTTTTTTGATGGAGTCTCACTTTGTGGCCCAGGCTGGAGTGCAATGACACAATCTCAGTTCACTGCAACCTCCGTCTCCCGGGTTCAAGCGATTCTCCTGCCTCAGCCTCCCAAGTAGCTGGGATTACAGTGCATGCCACCACACCCGGCTAATTATTTTTGTATTTTTAGTAGAGAAGGGGTTTCACCATGTTAGCCAGGATGCTCTTGCAATCTGCCCCCCTCAGCCTCCCAAAGTGCCGGGATTACAGGCATGAGCCACTGCACTCTGCCAGGAATTCTAATAATACAATCTATTATTATAGATCTCTAGGGTAGAAAGGGAAGTTAGAGGTACACAGATGTTGGCACAACTCCTGACTCCCATCCACAGCCTGCTTGAATAGTTCCAGGAACAGCGAACTCACTGCCTCCCAGGGCAGCCCATTTCTCCTGTGAACAGTGCACATTGTTAGACAGTGTTTCTCTCCTGCACAGAAATACACCTTCCTATCTCTGCCTTCTGGACCCAAATCAACTATATTGATTTTTTTCTCCCACTCAAGAGCCGCTCACGTATTTGAAGACAATAAGCAGGCCCACATGTGTTTTGTTTGCTTCAAGCTAAGTGTACCAGTTCATGTCTCCCAGGAAGCCTTCTCCATATTCCTCCCGCAGCCCCGCTCCATGTGATCCCAGAGCTCTCCGTGCATAACCTTGTCGGTGCACTTGCCCCAGTGCTTTTAGAATTCTGCTTAGAGTTGTCAGTTTTTCCTCCTGGGCTGTGTGTATCTTTATGTCCGTGGTGGCTTCTCAGAGCCTGGCATATTTATGTGCTTAATTGATATCTGCTGAATGAATTGAAGGAGTGAGTTCTAATTCCTAAACTGTAAAACCACCTCTTCTAGAATAGGCAGGAGCCTCTGTAGCCCAGCAGGGCTGGGGGTTCCGAATGCAGATGGGAAAGCCGCAAGACCGTGTCTGGCCTCAAAGTACCAGAGCTGAGATCCTTGCTTTGAAATTCTCTCTATAAACTTTACACAAGCTTATGAAAACCATCACCTTAATCCAAGTCACTAGCATTGGAATCGGAGCCCAGGTTATTGGCAGGAAAACATCAGCACAAACCTTAGCTGTGTGTTCAGGTTTTTCTTCCTCCCTCAGTCATGACTGATCTGCGGATTGTTTTGCTAAAGGATGTGGAAGACTGATCTGCCCAAAGGAACGTGTACCCTGGTGTCCCTCTCTGTGGAGCACGAGGAAGCCCAGCTCCTGGGTGGCGTGCGAGCGGTGGTGATGGACTCACAGTACTTGATAGAACCGTGTGGCTCTGGCAAGTCGAGACTCACTCACATCTGCAGGATAGACCTGAAGTAAGTACCAACTCCCCCAGTGGCACATCCAGCAGGGATGTCACCCTGATTTGGTTTCTTGTTTCATTGTTTTCTCCCCTGTCTTTCCCCCTTTGCTGAAATTCTGACATTTCTCCTGCAGCCCTTTGCCTTTCTTTATTTTCTGTTTTAAGCCCACTTATATTTCTGTTTCTCCCGTGAAACACACACCAGTAACAGAGCCTGACACATAGGAGATACCCAGTAAATCAGAGCTTTCTTCTCTTATGTTTCTTTTTGAGATAGGGTCTCATTCTGTCGCCCAGGCTGGAGTGTAGCGGTGCCATCAGGGCTCACTGCAACCTCTACCTCCCGGGCTCAAGTGATCCTCCCTCCTCAGCCTTCCCAATAGCTGAGACTACAGGTTCCCCCCATCATGCTCAGCTAATTTTTGTATGTTTTTGTAGAGACCGAGCGTTGCCATGTTGGTTGGGCTGGTCTCAAACTCCTGGCCTCAAGTGATCTGCCCGGCTTGGCCTCCCTAAGTGCTGGGACTCCAGACATGAGCCACCGCCCCCGACTGTGTGTTTATGCCTGTCCCCTTTTGCTGCTCCCTCTGATAGTTCTTTGAGAAGAAATTGACTTAAATCCAATCCCCTCAAGGCACTCATGTGCTAAACCCAGTTCTTGGTCTGGGTAGGCATAACGGAATTTTCACAGTAAATTCTGGATTTCATCTGAATCTTTTCACTTTACCCTGAGGTGTTGTTATCATTTTAAAGCACCTGATGAGTTCTGAAAAGACAGCGTGCATACTTGGCAGCCAGGACGTGTTCAAGGCCCCTGATGACAGAATGAGGTCCTGAGCCCCTGGAGGTGGCAGCCCAAGTTGTCTGCAGGTGCACCAGTCATCGGGGCCCAAGGGCAGCCCTGTCCACCATGACTAATTGCTGTGATTTGGAAAAATAACTTTCCCACTCCCTTTCTGATTTCTTTCCCCACAGAGGTCACTCCCCAGAATGGTACAGCAAAGGCTTTGGACATCTGTGTGCAGCAGAAGTTGCCAGGATTAGAAACTCTTTCCAGCCCCTCATTGCTGAGGGCCCAGAAACTAAAATCTGAGTTTTCCCCAGTGTGACATCCAACTCAGGGAAGAGGAAACTAAAGTAACACGTATGGTAGAGAGTGTGCACGTGAGCAAGCAAGAGAAAGAGGAACTGACGGATGTGGTTAATGCCTAAAAATGGAAACGTTAAGAAGCTGGAATGCTGGAGATGCAAGAATTTCCAAGAACTTTCCTAGCCTTCCTGGAGATGGCTACATCCCTACTAATATAATTTTAAAGTGAGAACATTTATCTATGTTGCTTAAAATTAAATGGATTATTCCTTGTGCATTGCCTAATTTGCTATTTAAAGGCTTCTAAGAAGCGTATACTTAACTGTAAATAAATGAATGTATAGCATATGTACATATGTGTGTATATCTCCATCTTTACTGTATATATGTAAAATACCAATTTTATATAGAATTGTGTGTTTTGAAAAGGATGGTGTCTGACTCAGTGAGTCCCGTCCTCACAGAGTTCTTTCCAAGTGGCGCTGGGCCCCATCTCTCTACTGTCCTGTAAGCTGTGCAGAACCTGCTGCTAACACCAAGGTGTGAACATGCCCTGATGTCTAACCAAAGATTAGCTAACCAAAGGAAAATAACATTAAAGGGGACTTACGTGTTGATGCTTTGTTTCTGTTATTCAAAAACTGAGAGTGGAATTCTGGGATGAAGCAGGGAAAGAATACTCCTCCTCAAAGCAAAGCAGGGGGTGAGAAGTCATCACCAAGTTTAAGGCTAGATGAGGAGTTGCCACTCGGCCCAATGAGATGCAATTTCAGTGAGCTACGGACCAGTGGAGTCAGTGAGAATGACGGAAACAGAAGCAATACCTCCCACTCCCATGCCCACCACTACAGACCCCAAGTCAAGATGAATACGATAGCCTTTACTTATTCACAGCCAAAGGGAGCCCCTGTGTTGTCTCAAGTTTTTATACATTCATTTCATCATGTTGTAAGTTGTCGTTCTATTTGACCAGTGGCCTATTTGGTCACAGTTAATTGGTATTTTCTTATTGCACTGAATTCAACTCTGGACACCACAACACGAAGGGAGAGGATGGCCATTCCGTTCAATTCCTAGATCATTACAGCTTCAGGGAATTCATATTTTGCTATGTGTAGGATGCTCTTAAAATGTAATTCATTAAACTTTTGCAATCTGAAAGACAGGGTTTTTAACTAACAAACATAAGACCAAAACTATGTTCTTTGATTAGTTTTAGAAAATATAATCTGGTTTATTAATTCTTCTCTGTTTCTTCACTAGCCAGTCCAAGCTACCTATGCATTTGACCCAACCTTATTTATTATTGTACAGACTAAGCAAATTGACTCCCCTTAGCCACCTGCTAATGGATCTAATGTGCTTCTTATTGTAATTCAGCAGTTCTGGAGAGAAAGGTAACTTATTGTGTGTTTGATTTCAGGGAGAGAGATTTTCTTTGGTCATTTATAATAGAGATTGATATGATTTAGCAACTTGTGTTGGAGGAAAAAAAAGAAAAGCAAATGAGTGTTTTCAGGTTCTTTGTATTATATGCATTTATATAATGTTTGTTTCTGTTAGCAATGTGCAATTATTTTATTGAGAGGAATAAAAACGCTTTCTATGAGTTTGGTATGGTGCAAGAAAAATCATAGAGTTTGAATTATGACCTAGAAATTTTTTATTCCCATATCTACCTAAGAAGGTAACAGCAAATCCGTAATTTGCCATTTGGGCAATGCTTTGTGAGCAAAACAAAGTCACTTCTGCCATAACATCTTAAATGTAACCATGTATGCCAGATTATTTTATATGCATTAACAAGCTCTCTAGTGAAGTTTAATCTAGCTAAACACTGGTCCTGCTCCAAAGACGGGCTCCGATGTGTTTGCAAAATGTGATACGCACACAAGGATGAGTGGCTTTGGGTCACCCAGAGAGGTGCTTGTCCAGCTTTCACATGCACATGAATTGCCTGGGGATCTAGTGAAACTGCAGACTCTGCTCCAGGTAATCTGGGCTGGCCTGAGATTCTGCATTTGTAAGGAGTCTCAGGGATGCCTGTGCTGCTGGCCTAAAACCACACTCAGAAACAAGGACCTAGAAGATCCCTAAAATAGAATAAAAACAAATGTGATTGTATTTCTGACTCTCCCTCTCTTCAAATTACCTTTTTGGTTTTTGTGCACAAAGTAATCACACCACCGCTGCATAACAACACGGTGCATCTTTTTAAAAAAAAGGAAAAGGGAAAGAAAGGAGAAAAAAACAATGCATCAAGCTTATTTGTCAAATACCACAGTATTTTATTCATTGTTATCTTGCCAATGGAAATAAAGTATGATATTGCATTTAAATATTATATTTATACCTCATGTATATTTTTACCTCAATTGTTGGCATCAATCATCAATTGTAAATAAATAATTGCCAGGGCAAATAAATTTATATATATTAAATATTTCCTATTTTCTATAAAATAGATGTTGATTTTCATGCTTCATCCTTAAATGGAAAACTTGCTTCATGAGGAATATTTCTCTCAAGATAGCTGTCCATGACCTTGACTTCCTGGTACCATCTATAGTCAATTCTGTCTTCAAATACAAGGATGTTGTCAATAGACATTCACTGTCAGGCCGGGTGCCTTAACCTGGGTCTAAGGAATTAAAGTTATGGGGGGGGGGGAGCTTCTTAAATTTAATTGTCCTTAAATCTAGAAGTTATAAAAACATATTCATATTTTTTATCAGAGATTTAGTAAACTCTTTAGCTACATTTTATTTTGGTTAAGTAGACAAGAAATCAAGATTTGATGAAGTGACTTACAGCTGCATTACTAGACCATGAAAAGTTGCCATAAACAATTCTGACTCTCTTCCCTTCTACCCTGAACTCTGGGCTTCACTTCTAAATATCAGCAGAGATAGCCCTTAAGAAAGCAGGGGCTCTCAGACATTCTCAGGCACAGGTTTCCAAAGCCACAGAAGCCCAGAAGACCAAATGTCCCTACAAAAGTTGTCCCAACTCTGCTCTCTGCTCATCTCACGTACACCTTGCCCTGTTACTTGAAAGTTTTGTTTTCATAGTAGGGAAAAGAGGAATTCAATGGCGCTTTTTCTCTTCTATATGAAAGAAAAGAATGTGATGGTCATTCTAGCAACCACAGGCTGCAGATGTCCTGAGAGTATGGATCATATGAATTCAAATGTGATTCCTGCTAATTACCTTTATCTCATTACTATTTATGTGTCAACACATACAATGATTAGGTACCCCACAAATATATACAATTTCAAATACTATTTGTCAACTAAAAATAATTTTAAAAAGGAAAAAAAATTTACATTATTCCAAATACTCTTCATGAAATTCTTAAGATATAAAACTGTTCTATCTGTGTCTTTGATATTTGGTCACAGAAAAACTGGCCATATGGTTCCTTCTCAGGAAGATAAATGTAAAGGTATAAAACAGACCCTAACCAAATGGAGTGTCACATTCTGACACAAAAGCAAAATCAATGTGTGCTGACTGCACAAGGAGTGAAGAAATAAACACCTGACCTTGCAACATTGGTATGTTACAAAGTCATGCAGTTGGAAGAACAGATGATGTACAATTTTTGACATTCCATAGGCAGACTATATCCTTCCTAGGTTTCTTAAAGATAGTGTTTACTTTCATTCTAATAATCACACCCATCATCAGCCTCCTAGATGTCACCTAGCTTATATCCTTCTGTTGCACAGCTGAGGCTCAAAATTCCCAGTAATACTGTATCTCCATAGAAAACTTGCTTGCATAAGTAAGACTTTATTCACTTAGCACAAGTTTATTCAACAGTGAATAGGAGTGAGATGCTAGTAGGTAGAGGTGTTGATACAAAGAAGACATGATGTGAAGCAGAAGCTGATGAACAGTCAATTTTCATTATTTGTGGTAGTTCCTTTCTATAAAGTTGTGGTGAACACTGAATTAGCGAATACTGAACCATTGCTCCTAGGGGAAATACAGGGTTAGGTTCCTGTGAGCCTCAGGTCACAACATTTTCGTCAACCCATCACTACGTAACCTTGTTTTATTGGGTTTGTTTAAGGCACCTTCTTTAATATATATTTCTTAGAAGTTAGTTACCTGCAATATTTCTTTATAATAAAACCCTAGTTATCTGCAGTATTTCTTTATAATAAAACAATATTTCTTTATAATAAAAACCTTTATAATAAAACTATTTCTTTATAATAAAACCCTAGAGAAGGATTTAACATTTCCCTGATGCTAGGTAACATAACTATAAATTTCTTGGGCTTTCAGCCTCTCAACAGTGTTCTCTTTAATACACTTTAAAAATCAGTTGTCATTTTATAAATTCATAAATTTAGCTGCCTTTCTGTCTTTTCCATAGCTTCTTCATGCACTATAAATGTCACTTCAGCACTTTCCAGAACAGCTTCATGTACATATTGGTGAACTTCCTTTTCTGGATGTACTATATTGTTGATTTATTAACACTGAACTCACACCAACAGCCCTGTAACTCAGGCATGAAGGAAACTCATCCAACACACATGTTTTCTCCATGAGGTATACCCCTAGCCTTCTTGTACTTAGGAACATTAGACAGCACTTTAGTGCAACATCTGGGGACCATTAGAAAAGTGAAATTACCACCCCAAAGCACAAAAATTTGGGGAAAAAATGGCAATTAATAGACTGTAAAAAGGGCACATTTATAGTATGTGAGCCAAAAGAAGAAGGCAGTGAGCACACTAACCTCAGCTGGGAATGTGCATTCGCGTCAGCGACTCTCATTTGTTGATGCTCTGAAAATGTCCAAAAATAACCATGAAATCACTGCAAGTATCTATCTGGGGGTTACAAATAAGTGTTAATGAGTAGGTGAATTCACAAATGTAGAATCCACAAATAATGAGGAGGATCTATACATACACCACCCAGTGACAGGTCACTCTGAATTCTGCAGAGCCCAGGGGAGTCAGAGGACAGGACGTTCTGTCCTCTGCTGGAAGTCCAAGTTGGAAGGGCTTGGACTTTTATCTGTTGGGAAAACTAGACCCAAGAGGCAGAGAAGTGAACTCGCACTAGTTTGGCTGAAAGAGATTTAAAATGGACTCGGAGCCCATTAAAACAGACTTGAAGTATTAACAGCAAAACAGACTTGGACGTAAGATAGACTTGGAACATTGCTAGGCACAGGGGCAGGATTGTAAAGTTATACCCATCTTTGCCAATGTTCTTCACCCATTTTGTTTTTACATTAGATGTACAGGTATTAGAGGTATCTCACCACCTGTCCTTTCTGAGCTGAAACTAATGCATGATAACTTGCCTTTCTTTTAATTTTATAACCCACTCCTTTCCCCCACTTAATGTAGAATATTTAGGAAAACTTGGCATTCATCTGATTAACTCAGAGAAGATACTTTTAAACCAAAATAACACCTTTGACGCCATGCATGACCCAGAGAGAACCAGAGAGAATCAGTGTAGGTGTTACGTGAGCCTAAGATGCCAAGAGCTGATAAGATGAGATTACTGGTGAGATCCCCAAGGACAAACCCCAAATCAGCAGGAAAGGCAGAGTTGCCAGGTTCATGCCTGCCTCTCTTGTTATGATGCCCATTGGTTGTCATAGGAGGTGGGCTTATCCCAGTGATGAGCAAGTGCTAAGCCTGAGCCATTCCTCACTGCCAGAGGAAGTCTTTAATCTGCATAAGCTAGGCTTGAGCTGTCAGTTTGCCTCTGCTCACAACTCCAGCACAGCCAAGACATGGGGCCAATCCTTCCCATAGGCCAGACTAGTCTGTCCTTTCCTGGCTAGTGCAGGCCCCTGAGGGTGCAAAGGAGATGCTTTGGATTGGTAACCTGAATGACTAGTGGTTACGTTGAGGATGGACTGGCATGATGAAGGAAGGGCAGAGTGATCTGTGAATCCAATTAAAAGACCGTTCTAACAGTCTAGGTGAAAAATGCTATGGGCAAAGAAGTGGATGGGTTTTAAAACATTTCAGAGCTATAATAGAACTAATAAGATCTATATACTAGCTTGTTTTGTTTAGAGGCTATAATTTATCAAAACATGCACACAAACACAGACTTACATGGCGCCATTCCCACTTGACAGAAATGTGAACTTAAATATGCAATATTAAATCACAGCTGCATAAAATTAACTTTAGTACATACTGTACTACTGTAATAAATTCATAGCCACCTCTTGTTGCTATTTCAGTGAGCTCCAGTGTTGCAAGTAACTGCTTAAAGTGCCAATTGATGCTCCTCATCTACATGTGAGTAGTTTGTCTCTCTAGTAAATTGTATATCACAACAAAAAGTAATCTCTTGTAGTTCTTAAGCATTTTTCACTATGCAATATTGTAAACCTTGACTAACACCAAAGGACCCATACGAAGTACTACTAGTGATGCTGGAAGTGCTCTCAAGAAGCAGAAAAAAGTCATGACATTACAAGAAAAAGTTTAATATCTTGCAGACCAGAAATTATGGTCTACAGCAGGGGTTGCCCATCATTTGAAGATAAATAAATCCAGGGAAAGGACCATTGTAAAAACATAAAAAAGCAAAGAAAGAAAAAGAAAAGGGAATTTATGAAGCTGTGGCTGCAGCGATACCAGCAGACATGAAAATCTTAGCACTTTTAGTGAAATATCTTTTAATCATATATTGAAAGTGTATCTTTTATGTAGGTGCAGGATTGCTACAAGAAAGATATACCTACAGGGTTTAATATAATTTGAAGAAAAGCAAAGTCATTATATGATAACTTAAAACAAAATTAAGGCAAAGGATCTAAACCTGGAGAATTTAATGGCAGCAAAGGGTGGTTTGATAATTTTAGAAAAAGGTGTGGCTTTAAAAAATGTCATGATATGCAAAAATCTTCAATAAAATACTGTCAGGCCGATTGCAACAGCACATCAAAAAGCTTATCCACCATGATCAAGTAGGCTTCATCCTGGGGATGCAAGGCTGGTTCAACATACACAAGTCTATAAACATAATTCACCACATAAACAGAACCAAAGACAAAAGCCACGTGATTATCTCAATTGATACAGAGAAGGCCTTTGAAAAAATTCAACAGCCCTTTATGCTAAAAACCCTCAATAAGCTAGGTATTGACGGAACGTATCTCAAAATAATAAAAGCTATTTACGACAAACCAACAACCAATATCATACTGAATGGGCAAAAACTGGAAGCATTCCCCTTGAAATGTGGCACTAGACAAGGATGCCCTCTCTCACCACTCCTATTCAATATAGTACTAGAAGTTCTAGCCAGAGCAATCAGGCAAGAAAAAGAAATAAAAGGTATTCAAATAGGAAAGGAGGAAGTCAAAGTGTCTCTATTTGCAGACGACATGATTGTACATCTAGAAGACCCCATTGTCTCAGCCCAAAATCTCCTGAAA